CTTTCTCTCCCCCCCCCCCGCCCACCCCCAGGCAGGCTCGCTGCTGTGTTGTAATAACAGCAAACATTTGCAGTCATCGAGCTGGGTGGTAGACTGTAAGGAGCCTTTCAGAGCTGTCGCCTGACTGAGAGGCGAGGCAGCTGTTTCCGTGATGATGCCGAGTAAAGCCTGCGTCAGCACCGGGTTACAGCTAAAGTCAGGAGGCCGGGGCCGCGCAGGGCTGTTCCGTGGGTTGAGGATTCTGTAGGTACATCTCCTTCGCGGTCTACTGTTCTGTATTTTATAAAGTTTCCGAAGTAACTGTGCGTTACTTTTACTCATAGTAACGTTAGGCGCTATGTTGCACGCACATCTGTTGGGCGCTAGCATCAGCTGTCGATGTTTAGTGTTATAAAGGGCTTTTTAATTAAACACATAAACACAGATTGGCCGGGAGCCGTCTGAGGGGGACGTGCGGGTCCCGACCCCCAAGTTGCTGCGGTGCAGTGGGGGGTGTAGATGTGAGGGCACTGGGAATGCTCAGGGTCCCGGGCATGCGTAGCGGGCCAGGTGGGGGCACACGGAACCACCAGCGGTGGGTGGGCAGCTGCAGGTGGAACACTGACCAGGCCCCCTGCCCCATTCTGCCCCCAGGAGGCCTGGATGCCGAGGAGGTGCTGCCCTCGGGGCTGCCGCCCACCTTCATCCGCTTCAGCCACCACTCCTACGCCCAGATGGTGCGTGTGCTGAGGCGCACGGCTGCCCGCTGCGCCCACATCGCCAAGACCTACAGCATCGGGCGCAGCTTTGAAGGCAAGGAGCTGCTGGTCATCGAGTTCTCGGGCCGCCCTGGCCAGCACGAGCTGAGTAAGCCCCTGTCGCTGTCGGGCGCCCAGTGAGAGGGCTGGGGGTTTCTGCTTGGCCTTGGGGTGCACAGGCTGGGGTGCAGGATCTTCATCAGAGCCCGCAGTGTTTCAGGGACGGGGCGCAGGCGACGGCGGGGCAGGGCTCTGCTTGATGCGGTGGGGTGCATGGCCACACCCCACAGGGCGTGTGGAACCACTGTAACAGTGATGTCCCTGGGGGTCTAAGGGAGGCGGGAGGGCGGGGCCTGGCCCGGGGATGTGGCCTGCGGAGTGAGTCAGGGGACGCGAGTAGGGTCTGCTCCGGCTGCGGGCACATCGGTCCTCATGCATCTGTAGCAAGATGTAACTGTGCTCTGTGCCTTTTGTTGTTTCTGCAACCCGGCCCTGGCCCCCTGGCCCCCTGGCCCCCCGGCAGGTACGTGCTCGCGGCCCGGCCGCTTCACGTTCCCGCTTTAAGCTGCACAGTGAACACAGTGTCGCAGGATCATGTGACTCAAGCACCTTTTCCATGTAAAAAACCCATGTCCCTTTCAACTCGAATCAGGCTCGGTGGCCCTGTTTTGAGATGAGAGCTGCGTGGGAAATGCGGGAGGTTATCGGCCCTCCAGAGCTGTGTCCTTGCCCAGGGTGGGGAGTCAGACTTCTGTGCAGTCGGAGTTCACTGTCCACTGTAACTGCGAGGGGGCCGCTCGGGCCGGGAGCCCGGGGCTGAAAAGGTTACCGCGAAACTGAATTTCAGGGGCAGCCGAGGGGAAGGCAGTGGGCCCTGCGGCCGGGGCTCAGGGTCTGGCCCGAGAATCCGGGATGTTCTAGCAAAGACTCAGCCCCCTGGCTGGCAGCCTGTCTCCGGTGTGGTGAGGTGAATGTGACCATGAACCCCCTCCAGGGTGCTGAGAGCGTCTGGGTGCAGGGGCCCAGTGCTGGCCTCTGCTGGGGAGTCGATGAGTGAGGGTCCTGGTCCTTCTCAGCTCCTCTGTCTCTATGACCATGTGAGTCAGAGGGGATCAGTCTAGAAGCAGTCCCCATTGGACTCTCGGTCCTTATAAATTACCGAAAAATATTCCTCGTCCTGTTTAAGTGGCTCCAGCACCTTTGCTGGGCTGGCCACACTCAGCTGTTTTCACCTTGGGTTTGGGCAGCGTGGACATCATGAGCTCAAAGCCCCATCTCTTGTCAAGGGTCAGAGGTCATCCAGCACCCCCCAACCTCCAAGGCCCACCCTCCCTCCCACCCCTCCAGCTTGTGGCATTCTCTGGGTTGAAGGCACGGGCTCTCTCGGTTTCGCATTGGTCTGCAGCTTTGCAATCTGTGGGTGAGGGGTGTGCCCTGTGCAGAGAGACAAGGGAGGTGACCGTTGTGGAAAGCATTGGGGTCATTTACACCCTCGGAATGTGGGAGGGACATGAGCATTCACTCCCACAGCTGTAAGTCCTTGGACCACGCACAGCCAGGGAGGGAGACACCGTTTTCCAGATGAGCAATGTGAGGCTCAGAGAGGAGAGATGACTTGCCCAAAGTCACAGAGCTAGTAAAGCGGCCAGGCTCCTGATCCACTCCTCTTCCCACAATCCATCCATCCACCCATCCACCCATTCATCCATCCATCCACCCACCCACCCACATACCCATCCATCCATCCACCCATCCATCCATCCATCTGTCCATCCACCCACCCATCCATCCATCCATTCATTCACCCACCCACCCACCCACCCATCCATCTACCCATCCACTCATCAAAATATTCATCATCCACTCATCCAGCCATCCATCCTTTCATCTGTCATCAGTCCTTCCTTCCTTCCATCCATCTTTTCATTCATTCATTCATTCAAGGGCCAGCTGCCTTCCTATCTAAGGACCGGTGTATGACTTAACTTATTATACAAACGTGAAGAGTGGCTCTCAATGAAATTCAGACCAATGATACCACATGTTATTAATTAATATCCTTGATTCAGTATGCTAATAATTATGGGTAAATGTAAGAAATGAGCTCAACCAAGTGACGACCTCAATGACGCCTCCTTAGCCACAGAGATACTTGGGCCCAAACAAGGCTGAATAAAGTCCCAGAACCTCCAGCTGCTCTCGCCTTGGGGACCCTCAAGGCTCTGGGGACCCGGGGGCTGTGAGACAACCTCCCAGGTCACTGTGTCTCCCCCAGTGGAGCCCGAGGTGAAGCTCATTGGCAACATCCACGGCAATGAGGTGGCAGGACGGGAGATGCTCATCTACCTGGCCCAGTACCTGTGCTCCGAGTACCTGCTGGGCAACCCCCGCATCCAGCGCCTGCTCAACACCACCCGCCTCCACCTGCTGCCCTCCATGAACCCCGACGGCTACGAGGTGGCCGCCGCCGAGGTGAGGGCCCCGCTGGCCCCCATGGCCGCTGTCCCACCCATCCGTTCACGTTCATTCACTAGCAGTAACTGTGGGTCTGCGTGGGCCCAGCGCTCGGGTGATGAGGATTCAGCAGGCATCAGCGTCGGCGAGGCCCTCCTTGGGGGTGGGGGCTGATGCCGATAATTCTAAGCTGTGTTGAGAAGGCGTCGCACCCTATAGAGGAAGGTGACGAGAGAGGGAGAAAAGAGAGTGTGCCTGTGTGCCAGCCGGAGCTCGGGGAGCTCTGCGAGGAGGTGACGTTGGAGCAGAGCCTGCGGGAGGTGGACGTGAGCAGTGCATGACCGTTGGGGGTCCTCAGGCAGGGGGAACAGCCGGTGTGAGGCCCTGAGGTTGGAGGTTCAGCAGAGAGGCCAGGTGGGAGAGGCCGTCAAGGGCAACTTTTCCAGGGTGCCCCAGGTCGTCAGTAAAGTCAGCGAGAGCTTGGCCTCCAGCCCCTGACAGTCAGCCTGGTCCGGCAGCCCCCCTCCAGGAGGATTGGGGTGGGGTGTGCTGACCGGGGCTGGCCTGTGTTTTCAGGGTGCCGGCTACAACGGGTGGACGAGTGGGAGGCAGAACGCGCAGAACCTGGACCTGAACCGCAACTTCCCCGACCTGACGTCCGAGTACTACCGCCTGGCCTCGTCCCGCAATGCGCGCAGCGACCACATAGCCATCCCACAGCACTACTGGTGGGGTAAGGTAGGAGCTGCTGCTGCCCGTGCCCACCCCATGAAGGCCTGGCTCCTCCCACGGTTGTGCATCTGAGGGGTCTCTGGTTATTCTGGGACCCTCAGGTGTGGCCCCCCCCCCCCAGGGCGGGAAAGCCTGGCGGCTAACAGCCTTGGCGCTCTGAGCCTCAGTTTCCTGCCTGTGAGGTGGGGATAGCTCCTCACTGGGTTGTTGGGATTCAGGGAACACAGAAGCCCCCAGAGCCTGGCAGGTGCTCAGTGACAGCTGCCCGGAAAGGCTGCCTGGAGGGGGTGACGTCCCCATGAGGCAGGAAAGGAAGTTCCAGGCAGGAGGACTGGCATGTGCAAGAGACTGGTGGAGTCTGAGTGGAATCCTGAGGGCCAGGCCAGTGCTGGGCCAGGGCCCTGGGGTGGTGGGCGTGGAGGGCCTGGAGAAGGCTGTGGAAGCCTGTGGGCGTGGCCGGTCCTGCGAATGGCCTCCTCTGTCCTGTGTTCTGGGCAGGTGGCCCCTGAGACGAAGGCGATAATGAAGTGGATGCGGACCACGCCCTTTGTGCTCTCAGCCAGCCTCCACGGGGGCGACCTGGTGGTGTCCTACCCCTTCGACTTCTCCAAACACCCCCAGGAGGAGAAGATGTTTTCTCCCACGCCCGATGAGAAGGTGCGAGGGGGCGCGGTGGCGGGGAGGGTGTCCCATGGACGCAGGGAGGCAGCTGTGTGGGTGGCGCTCTTGGGGCTGGCCCGGTGTCGCTCCTGTTCTGAGCTCAGTGACGTCCAGAGTTGCTGAACCGTTGGAAGCCTTGCAGGCCCAGCTCCAAACCCCCTCCTCCGGGAAGCCTTCTGGCTGGCTGGAAGCGGCCCTGCCCCCTCTTCCATCAGTGTCGGAGCTCCTGGGGTGCGACTGTGGCCCTATCTGGCGAGTCGCCCTGGTGTTTTCTGTCCAAAGGAGGGCAGGTTTCTGGCGACGCCGGCAGAGGGCAGTGCTGCAGCGTGCAGGACACCCCCGTGCTCTCTCTGCCTCACTCCTTCCTGGGGGCCTGGCGGGTTTCAGGGTGGGCTCTGAGGGAGGGAGCCGGGCTGCAGTGGGACTGGAGTAGGGATTCTGGCCCTGGAGTTCGCTTGGGCCCTGAGGAGGCCCTTCCCCTCTCTGGGCCTCAGTTTCCCTCACTGGGCACAGCAGCAGGGCATGAGACGTGTGATGGAGGCAGACCGTCTCCAACCCCACTCTTCTCTTAAGCCGACTTACTGCCCCCTGCCCCCAGCCCTGACTGCGCCGCTCCCCGAGCCTGTACTGGCCCTCATGCAGGCTGATCTTCTGGGACGGGTGTGGATTTACCCCTTCCCATTTTATGGATGAAAACCTGAGGCGAGGGAGGGGGTGACCTCTGATGGGCCAAGAGCCCTGCAGCTTAACTGCCAGAAACTGCCCCTGGTGACCATCCCCGTCCAGGCCAGCCCCGGCCTCCTTCCCGTCCCCTCCTGGGACGACAGAGCTAGAAGCTCTTGCCTTGATCGACCTAGGGGCCTTGGAAAGGTCTGAGCTCTCCGCGTGGTCACTCAGCAGGCCTCCTGGAGGACCAGACCCAGGGCGGAGAGCCAGGCCTGCCCTCTGCCGCCTCCTCGAACTCTCCACCTGGTATTCAGGGGCAGGGCGGGGAGGGAAGGGCTAGTCCTGATGGTTGAGTGCCCAGAGCCCAGCTCACACACGGCTTGTTCTCCTCCCCGGCCACTCAGAGGTCAGCTTGGCCTCACCCAGCCCCCTCCCTTTGTGTGGCCGGTCCCAGGGCCACCAGAGGGAGCAGGACTGGACCCTGCACTGAGGGTCCTAGTCTAGGGCGGGAGACAGAGCCAGAAGTGGGCAAGGACAAGAGGCACGGCCAGGGCCAGGGTGGAGGGCTGCCCAGGAGGCCGGGGGCGCACAGGGTGTGTGTGTGCACATGTGTATGTGTGGGCATGTTGTGTGCATGTGTGTATGTGCATGCGTGTGTAAGGGTGAACCCGTAGCCTGGCCCAGGACGTAAGGAGGGCTTCCCCACAGTGGCGGCTGCCGCAGCAGAGCCTAAAGATTGCGATGATTTCCCACAGACCCCGGAAGGGCCTGGGTGGGCAGCGGGAGCCCGGCGGAGCAGGAAACCCGCTCAGCAGGGCCTCCTCAGGAGCTGGGGGCAGCACCGGCTCCACTGGGCCTTTGTTCCTGCACTCAGCCACTCACTCACTCATTCACTCACTCACTCATTCACTCACTCACTCATGCATTCATTCGCTCACTCACTCACATATTCACTCACTCGCTCACTCACTCATTCACTCACTCGCTCCCTCACTCACTCACTCACCCACTCATTCACTCACTCACTCACTCATTCAACCATTCATTCATTCCCTCACTCGTTTATTCCCTCACTCATTCATTCCCTCACTCATTCATTCACTAACTCACTCACTCACCCATTCACTCATTCATTGACTCCTGCAACCAGCGCATGCCTAGAGCCTGCAGGAATGCCAGGTTCTGTGCTCAGAGCTCAGCAAGTGCCCCCCAAAGGTGGCTGAGTGGTCTCTGCCATGAGCTTGGCACTGGTTCCCTGTGCTGTTCAGAATGCAGGGCCAACAACTGGTCAAGGTGGGCGCCAGGCTCAGCATCTCTGAATCTCAGAGGCCGATTCGTGAAGATGTCCCCGGGGGGAAGTTCACCTCAATGAGTCCCACCAGAGTCAGAAAAATGAGAGTCTTCCCCACCAGCCATCAATCATTGGTCGATAATCCTTCGGGCCTGTAGCCAGTGGTGGTCTCTGCGGAAACCAGGGTCCCAGGAGAGGCACTAAGGGGCAGCGGAGCGTGAGGAGGGGCTGGTCAGGGTGTCCCATGTCACCCCCAAACTTCCATGGTGCCCTGTGGATGAGGGCCAGCCCCTCAGGGCAGCGTTCAAGACCCTCAAGGCCAGGGCCGCTGGCCTCACCCCGGCTGTCCCCCGATACTTGCACCTCCTGCCAGATCCTGCTCCCGAGCTCAGCTCAGGCTCGTCTTGCCCACCACCCTCTGTGGCCCGGCCCACACCCCCTGTGGGAACCGGCTGGGTTCATCCAGGGTCACAGGCAGCAGGAGCTGGGTGGGCTGCTCCTCCTCTGTGGGTGCTGGCCTGTGTTCTGGGGCCTGTGCCAGTCCACGTCTGCCCCTCCTGGCAGCCCGCTACGCCCCACCTTGTTTCGTTTATTGTTGTCTCTGTCTTTCTCTCACCCACCTTCGCCTGGCCTCTGGGCCGGAGCTCCTCCTGACGTCCTTGTCCTGTGCCCACCCCCCGGGTCAGGGCTGATCCCAGCTGGACCTGCGGCTCGGGCAACCTGGGTTTTGGGACTGATGGTGACTTTCTTTGCTCTCCCGTGGGTGGGCAGTCAGCAGAGGGACTGACTGATTGGTGACAGGAGGGAGGCCCTAGGGCAGAAGGAGAGAGACAGGCAGGGGGCATGGGAGGGGAGCAGACTGGGAGAGAGTCTGGTCCAACCTCTCCCCCAGCCCAGGTCCCGCTCTGCAGACGGGTGGTGAAGGGCCAGGGTGGTGGGAACCCGGGTGGGCTGAGTTCTAGAAACAACCCCGTCAGCATCTGCAGGCACAAGGGCCCCTTTCTTTGGCCCCTGGACTCCTGGCTGAAGATGGTTGATGCTCACCACGGCCCCCGGGTGGCAGGGGGCGCTGGCAGGATGGCAGTCCCTCACCTGCTGACCTGGTGACTGATGGACACGCATGGGGTTGTAATTTGGGTGTTTCATTTGTGTCTATGGGACCAAATTGAAGCTGCACAGCCTTCCCCCTGAGAAATTGGACTCACCCTTCTCCAAACCCTGGGTCCTGGGCTCTGAGTCACCGTGACTCCTGCCAGGAGAGACACTCGCTCTGGCCTGGGGCAGCTCCCCATTACTCACCCTGCCTGCCCACTCTCCCCCTTTGTTACAGAGGGGTCCTCACCCTGGGACAGACTTCTCCCAGGGCCGGGGCCTCTCCTCCACCTGAGGCCTGCTTGGGAGCCTCCATGCTGACTGGGTCAGACCCCATGTCCGGCCCTGGCACACACAGAGGCCTGGGACCTGCCTGAGAGGAGATCTGTGGGCCCGGGGTGGGGCGGGGTGTGAGATGGGGGGAGCCCCAGGCTAGGGGAGACCAGTGGGGCAGGGGGGCTACACCACCCCAGGAGCCCCGTGCACTGTGTCCCATGTCCCTCTGCCAACCACAATGGCAGCCGCACCCAGTGGCTATGGCAGCAGGCAGGAGGGCTCCCGCAGGTGCTGGTTGTCCCTGGGGAAAACAGAGTGACGATGATCATACGGGAGACCTGCTGGGGAGATGAAGTCAGCGACCACAAGGCCCACCCCAGCCTCCCGCCTCTCCCCGAGGCCTGTTGTCTGCACAGTGGCAGGAAGTGCTTTTAAATTGCAAAGCCACCTTCCATGCGCCCTGCCAACATCACTGCAGTGCGCAGCCTCCTTGAGAGCAAGCCCACACTCCCCAGCTGGGTGTGCAGGGGCTCCACGGTGCGCCCACGTACCCATGACGGGTGCCCTGAGCTCTGGCTGCCCCACCTCGGGGCCTTTGCACATGCTCTGCCCTCTGTGTGGACACCATTCTGCTCTCCTACCCGTGCTGCAGACCCCTCCGACAGGATGCCTCTTCTCACCCATCGCCCCAACTCTGAGGGCCCTGCCTTCTCGTCTTGCTTCTGGGAAACCTCTCTCCGTCTCCTCCGCAGATGTTCAAGTTGTTGGCCAGAGCCTACGCTGACGTGCACCCGATGATGATGGACAGGTCGGAGAACAGGTGTGGGGGCAACTTCCTGAAGAGGGGCAGCATCATCAACGGGGCCGACTGGTACAGCTTCACGGGAGGTGCGGCCCTGGGCGGGCTGGGGGTGGGAGGGAAGATGGGCGGGGTGCTGGGGCGGGAGCCAGGCTTGGCGCCTCCTCCAGCAGCTTTTTCTGGCAACTGGATTCCGGACTGTGGGAGAGTAGCAGAGACGCATCACGTCCCCCCTCCCCCCAGTGGTGGGGATCCTTCTGCTCCGGGGACGGGAAATTCGGGCGTGGGCTGGCTTTAGTCCTAGTTGCTGTCATGATGAAGCTCAGTGTGTGACTGTCCTGGGAGACCTAGGCTTGTGGCTTCTCTTGCCATTTCTGTGACTTATTTAATGAACGCCTGCGTCTCATAATTCCACCTGTGACCAATTCTTTTTGGCCATTTGGGGGTTAAGTAGGGTTGCCGGATGGAGTATAGGACCCCCAGTTGAGTTTGACTATCAGGGAAGTAATGAAGAGTTCCTTAGTGCTGAATAAGTATGTCCCAGATGTTGCATGGGATATACTTATACTGAAACTCCATTTGTTGTTCCTCTACATTCGTCTTAACTGCATGTCCTGCATTTTGTTGGCTAAAGCTGCGTTAGGTGCAGATGCCGCACAGAGCAGCACAGGTGCACGTGGCACCCTGTGCATGAGGGGTGCCCAGTGGGCTGGGCCTGCACTCGTCCACACTCTGCCTGCCCCCGTCCACACCAGCACGTTTGTTATTTGCGTCCTTTGGCAGACGAGGCGGTTGGGCTCAGACGAGAGATGGGCCTGCTGAGGTCCACACTGGGGATGGCAGGGCTGGGCTCGCACTTCAAGCCTGTCCGCCCCCGCTCCTGCGTGGGCAGAGAGGGCGGCCCCTTCGGTTCTGAGGCCAGTCCTCGCCCCTGCCCAGCACTTTCGGTGCTGCCCACAACCGCACGTGGTCCTTTCCAGGGATCACGGCAGCTTCTGCCTCCCAGAACCCAGGCACATGGGTTCCCTGGCTCCCAAGGGGGGATGGCTTCCACTCCCTGTTATGACCCTGTTATGAGGGTCTGCAAAGGATCCTCAGGCTGGGGCTCAGCCTGGGAGAGGCCGGCAGCCAGGCGCCAGCTGGGTTCCCCTCCCACAGGGACATGGACCCAGGAAAGCATGAGGCCAGTGGTCAGGGCCAGAAGGGCCAGATGGGAGGGGAATGTGGCTGCCCTGGGGACTGTGGATGTTGAGTCAGTAACTGGCTGCTGGGCAGTGGGTGCCACGGCCTGGAGGAGGCCCTGACTTCCGAAGGGCAGGCGCCCCAGCAGTTCCCAACACAGGGCTGTCCCCTCAGTGCCTGAGCCCTGCCCTGGAGGATGGTTGTGGCTTCTGCTGGACAAGAAACTCCAAAAACAGACAGGGCAGAGGACAGAGGGCAGAAGAGGGGGCAGCGGTCAGCCCAGCTTGCTCCCAAGCCTCTCTCGGCCGCTAATCGGCCGCTCGTCCAGCCTTGGAGGCTGTGTTCTCCCTGGAGATGGAGGTCACAGGACCTTCCTCCTTAGGCTGTTGTCGGGACTGTCCCAGTAAATGGACAGTATTGGCCCTGGGGATCCAGGCCAGGGAGGGCCAGCAGCTCGGACGCCTGGGGCACATGTGGCTGCCGCGTGCTGCTGGCTCCTTGACTGGAAATCCGCTCCTTCCTCGCCCACCGAGGGGCCGTGTGGGAGGGTGGGTGAGCCCTCGGGCTTGGGGAGCCGCCGGGGTTGAGAGTGCAGCTCGGCCCCTGCCCTGCCCGGGCCTCAGTCTGCTCGTCTGTGGAGTAGGGACAGTGCCAGCCCTGCCTCCCCGCTGCCCGGCCGCCCGGCTGCGGAGGGGCTGGTGTGGACTCTGGCCCTGTGCTGCAGGCATGTCGGACTTCAACTACCTGCACAGCAACTGCTTTGAGATCACGGTGGAGCTGGGCTGCGTGAAGTTCCCACCCGAGGAGGCCCTCTACACCATCTGGCAGCACAACAAGGAGCCGCTCCTCAACTTCGTGGAGATGGTGAGCTCCGGGCGGCCTCGCTCGGGCCCTGCTGGGGCCTGGCGGTTGGAGGACAGAGTCAGGTCCCCGAGGAGCCCCCTTAACCTCCTGGTCCAGCACACTGTGTAGTGGGCTCAGCGCCCACGCATCCATGCCGTTACACTTCACTTGTCGTTAGTTACCCATCCATTTGAAGACTCACTGGCCGCCTCTCCTCCCACGGGCCGGCCCTGGGGGTGCTGTGGACAGCAGGGGGCATATGTGAGCATGCCCAGTATAGCAAGGGTCTCGTGGCCTAAAGGGGCACAACTGAGCCAAGGGATGCAGGAACCAGGGCAGCCTGGGAGGCACCTGACCAAGCCTCAGGGGCTTCCTGGAGGAGGCAGCACCTGGGCTGTGTCTTGAAGGAGTAGGAGGAATCAGGTGATGGGACAGGGAGAGCTCAGGCAGAAGGGGCGGCATGTGAGGGTCCTCGTGGCTGAAGTGAGGACCGTGGCCATGGGAATGGGGTGGCACTGGGCAGGAGCGAGGCCCGGAGGTGATGGCTCTGGGCAGCAGGTGTCTGTGTGCTCCAGGCAGGGCCTTGGGCATGTGTGCCCCCAGACTTGGAGGAAGGGCCCAGGCTGGGGGGACCTGCTATTACGGGGCTGGGGTCACCCAGAAACAGGCGGTGGGTGGTGAGTACAGGCGTGGAGAATGTGTCTAAAGTAACCCCTCACTGGACCCAGAGAGCCGCGTGTCCCGGGGGCCTAGTGGCCCCCACCCAAGTCCCGCCGCCTCTCCCAGCCCCGCCCCACACGCGGGCTCCTCAGCGTGGCTCACCGTCGAGGGATGCCGTGGGGCTCTGAGTGAGGTGCCACGCATGAAAGGAGCACAGAGTCGAAACGAAGCAGTGGTTTTAGATAAGCCTGTGCTGTGTATTTTCTGAGCGTTTTCAAGAATTGCTCAAATTGACCATTGGCTCAACATCCCGGGGAAAAGCAGGCCCTAAGAGAGAAACAGGATCCCCCACAGGAGACAGCGAGGGGGTTGTAAGTGCACAGCACTTTACAGCTGGTACCCCCGCACATGGCATCGAATCCTGACACCAGTCGTGGGTGGTAGACAGGCTGCCCTGGAGGCCCTGGGTGCCGGGGAGGAAAGCGCTGGTCTGGGGTCTCTTGGGCCCTCCGCGGGTTCCCATTCTCGGCTCTCGGTGGCCATGAGTCAGCCAGAGGAGGAGGCAGAGGTCAGAGAATGACAGGGCCTGTCCAGTGTCACCCAGCGACTGCCCAGAGCTCGAACTCAGATCTGGCTGCCCCTAGACCTCAGTTCTGTCCGTGAGCCCCCTCCTTTCTAGAAAGATCAGGAAGCTTCCTCCTGGCAAGAGCCAAGCGGAGCCTCCTGGCCCCGTAGCTGCAGCAGCAACAGGATCGTAGCCAGCCTCGTGAGTCTTGTGCGAGTTTCTCGTTTACGGCCGGGCCGGTGACCTCTCGGCGCGCGGGCGGGCCGGTCTCCACTAATGGCTCCCGGCCAGGCCTCCTGCTCATTTCGTTTTACGGCTGTCTGGTGAAAATGAGTTTTAAGGAGCCGTAAGTGGAGCTGGGATCGCTCCGTGGATATTGCATGTGAAGTCTCGGGATGGAAAGATTTAATAGCAAGCGTGGTACTGTGGAAGGCTGGGCAGCACGCGGCCGGGCATCGCCGGCCCCCGAGGACGACCCCCCGGAAAGCCGAGCCCAGCCTTCTGATAAGGATCGGGTCTGTCGTGGCCCATTGAGGCCTTTCCACAGCGATCCTGACCAGGCCTTGGGTGGGTGTCTGCATCTCCCCGGTCGGGAGGGGAGGGGATGCGGGGGAGTTCCACGTCCCTGGTTCTGCATGAAGACGACTCCTCAGCCCCAGAGCGAGGGCAGAACAAGGTCTAGCTGGTGCCAGCTGACACTAAATGAAGCCCTACTATGTGTCTGGCCTCTGCTATCAAGTTGGGGGGACATCACAGTGAGGTCAGGACTGTGGGACCCTAGGGGAGGCCCCTGATGTGGCCGGTCATCAAAGAGGGCTTCCTGGAGGAAGAGGAGTGTGAGCTGTGTCTGGAAGGGGGAGAGGCATTGGCCAGGTGAGAGAGCTGGCTAGGTGTTCTGAGCACAGGAAGGGGCAGGACGGAGGCTCAGAGGCCTGGGGCGGCACTGGAGCTGTGGGGGGCAGCCTCGGGCAGGGAACAACCTCACTGCCCTGTTTCCCCTCCCACCCAGTCATCCCGGCCTCGTTTGATGGTACCTGTGGATCGGGACAGAGCAGGGTGCTCTGGCTTGTTGGCTGTCAATCGTTTTAGGAGAAGCGAGAGCAGGACCAGGCAGCTCCAGGAGCTGCTTTCCTTGCGGGAAGTGCAGTTGCCGAGTCTGAGCGCTGGGTCTTCGGGGTGCCTGCTCGGAAGCCGGGCTGGGCTCAGCACCTGTCCGTGGGGTGCTGGGGCCGGTCCTCCCCCGAACCTGTCACTGCGCCTTGCGTGTGTCAGTTTTTACCCTTCAGCGACGCCCACGGCAGGCCCTCTGCCCGGGCTTCCTGACGGGGTAACAGTGCTGAGGTGCAGGTAGCTGGCCCAGGTCAGAGAGCAGGTTGGTGGCCTGCCCGGGACTGGCACCAGGGACCAAACACTCGAGGCTATGTCCTCCTGGTGCCCCACGCTGCCCTCGGGACCTTGGCTCAGGGAGAGCCCGTCTGGCATGGGCTACGGTCATGGAGGGAGGGGGCTCGGCGTGCTGGGAGGTAAGTGTAAAGGGTTTCCGGGCTCAGCACTCACAGCCTAGGAGACGTCGTCAGCCAGACCCTCGAGCAGGGCTGTGGGTCAGTCACAGACCCAGGGGAGGTTGATGGCCAGAGGGACCCCAGAGGTGGCCTGGCCGGTCACCCTCATTTCACAGATGAGGAAACCGAGGCCCAGAGAGGGGAGTGACTTACCTGAGACATCAAGGCATGGTGCAGAGCTGGGCTCAGCAGGGCGGTGTCCCAGAGCCCCCGGGCTCCCAGTGGAGATGGGCGGGACTGGCGGGGGCGGCCATCCCACTCTCTGGAGAGCACGGCCCATGTCCGCGCCCTCATCCTTGGTCTCTTCAGGTGCACCGGGGCATCAAGGGTGTGGTGATGGACAAATTTGGCAAGCCGATCAAAAACGCCCGCATCGTAGTCAAGGGCATCCGCCACGACATCACCACAGGTGAGCGCCATCCTGGGCCTGCGTCGCGGTGGCGGGCTCCTGCGAGAGCTCACGGCACGCCCCGTGCTCTGAGAGGTGGCTCCGTGGGTCCTCGGCCGCCTGGTCGATGGGGGAGGGGGACCTGGGGTCGACGTCCATCTGCCTTAGGCCGTGGCTCCTGCAGCTTCGGGCACAGGGCAGAGCAAGCTCAGGTCCTGGGGCCCGAGACAGTCGACGCATATTCTGTGCCCCTTAAGAAGTAACTGTCCAGGAAGCCCCACTTTCTGTAGGATGGTGGGATGGAGCCACCTCCAGTCACAAGCCCGTTTGTTCATTTCCCAGAGTTTCTATCCCACCGATAGGCTGGTGTGTCCAGCCCTGTGTGGGCTCTGGGTGCCCTCAGGCCGAATAGAAAACTATGACATGTTGTGACCTGAGTTACCCGGTGGAGACGTGGTCCGGAGGAGGGAGGGGTTGCTAACTGTGGGCTGGGTGTGGGGAGGGGATGGTCTGTGAAGGCTTCAGAGAGGAGATGGGGCCTCGGCAGGGCTTTCAGGGATGAAGAGGAGTTTGATGGGGGGAGGAGGTGGGAAGGATGTCACAGGCCAGTGCAGAGGCAAGTGGAAATTTGTGGTCCGTCTGCCCTCCAAGCTGGCACCCGCTCTGACACCGTTACCCATCGTCTCAAGGCTGAGTCTGAGCCCGGGTCTGAGAATCATTTTTATTCTATTTGTCCACAGCCCCAGATGGCGACTACTGGAGACTGCTGCCCCCAGGGTCCCACATCGTCATTGCTCAAGCCCCCGGCTACTCCAAGGTCATCAAGAAAGTCACCATTCCCGCCCGGTTGAAGAAGGCCGGCCGCGTGGACTTCATCCTCCAGCCTTTGGGGACCGGACCCAAGACATCCCTTCTCGGGCCCCGGAGAAGCGGCCCCGGGCTCCGAGGCCCAGCGGGAGGTGCCGGCCCACACAGGGAGCCCGAGGATCCCGACCAGGAGCCCCTTGGGGCCCGGAGACAGCCCACAGCCGGCGGGAGCAAGCCGTGGTGGTGGTCCTACTTCACGTCGCTGAGCCAGCACAAGCCACGCTGGCTGCTCAAATACTAGGCGCTCCTGCCCGCACCCGCCCGCGTGCGGAGGCCCAGCCCCGCTCAGCCGGGGCTCCTAGCTCTTGATCTCGGCTTCCACAGACATGCCGCAAAGCCGTTTCCGTTTGATTAAAGTGTTTTTATTCGTCTCGGCTGTGCTGGGAGGCTTTGTGTGGGAGGCACCTGCCCGCGGAAGAAGTGGACCCCGGCTGAGTGAGGGCCACCCTGGCCTCGTGAACCTCGACCTCCCTGGGGACCGGTGCTCCTGCTGTCCCACAGGCAGCCCATCACAGGGCTGCCATTACACCTGTCTGTGCGTGGTCCTTTCCTGGACTGTGAGACCTTAGAACGAGAGGGAGGGACCCTCTACTTTACAGATGGGGAAACCGAGGCTCCGCAGGGGACGTGGCATGCCCCAGGTCACACACAGAGAGGGTGGCACAGGGCCGTGCAGAAGCTGAGACTCTGGGTCTGTGGCTGAGGAGGGTGTTTCTGGGGTCCGTGGAGCTGGGATGCGAAGGAGAAAGGTCAGGGGCCCTGGCAGCAGGTGACCCCTCAGGCTCAAGGCCTCAGGGGCAGGAGAGCCGGCAGGAACCTCAAGCCCCGTGGTGTCACCCAAGGTCACACTTTGAGGATCCCGGCTTCTGCGGGGCCCTGACTGCGGGAGGAAGGGTCCCCTTCCTCATCCTTAGGATGCCACCAACTCAGGTCCAGGGGCTCCCAAGGCCCCAAACTCCCCACACAAGCCCCTCCTGGGCCACCTCTCACGATCAGATGGGTCTGACTGTCCTGGGATCTGTCAGCAGGGCGTTCCATAGCCCATCAAAGAATCCTGGCCAAGGGGGCGCCCCAGGGAGCTGGGGCCGCGGAGCAGAGCGGAGCACCGCGGGCTGGGCCTCAAACCACGGCCATTCGTGGTCTCGCTGTCCTGGCGGCTGGAGCCCGGGATCAGCTGACAGCAGGGTGGGTTCCTCCTGGGCTGTGAGGCAGGGTCTGCACCAGGCCTCTCTGCTGGGCTGTCGACGGCCGTCTTCTCCCCGCGCCTCTTCACGTCGTCCTCCCTCTGTGCGTATCTGTGTCCCATCTCCTCTTCCTGCAAGGACTCCATCATACTGGATTGGGGCTCGTCCTAGCGACCTCATTTTAATTTGCTCGCCTCTGTAAATACTCTGCCTCCAAACACAATCACACTCACAGTTTCTGAGCCTTAGGCTTCGACGTTCAGCCCGTAGCAGAAGGATCGTCTGTGACACATTGGGCTCCTGGCTCAGCCCCGGCTGTGCCTTTAGGGCCCCTGCCTTCAGTGTCCCAGGCCTGGGCAAGGTTTACCCCTTGCAGAAATGGAAATGTTTGTGCACAGCCTGACCCCCCCCCCAGCATCATCACTCGCACTGTTCTGTTGCTTCCTGCCAGCCTGCGCCATCTCAGGAGGCCTCAGGGCTCACGGTCAGAGCCGAGAGGAGCAGGCATGCTCCAGGCACTGGGCAGTCATGTTTTTGGGGGGAGGGGACAGGAGAGGGCCTGGGCATCCTCGAGTCAGACAACCTTGCCTCCATACAGAATTTCACAGTTTGCAGAGCGAGGCACGTGTGCGTCCAGTAACCATCTGGATTTACCCACCGTCTTACAGCTTTCAGAGCCCTTCTACCCGACATTCACCCATGTGTCCAGTGGTTCCAAAGGTCAGCATTTATTTGGCCCCACTGTGTACCAGGCACTTTGCAGGGGTCCTCTGTGACCCCCGAGAGGCCAGTGGAGCAGGGACCCCTAGTCCTGCTTTACAAATGTGGATGCAGCCCAGAGAGTTTGTGCGACTTGCCCAGGACCTCAGAGCGTGCTGGTGGCCGCTCAGTCCCTCATGCAGGACGCTAGGGTGAGGCTCGCTGCTCCCCTGCGTCTCCCTGCTCCCGCGGCTCACAGCTGTCTGGAGGAGAAGAGCCATCGGGAGACATGTGACAGGCAGAGCCAGCTCAGCCAGGCGCCTGGTTCACGCTGGGAGCTGAGAGCTGGGCCCTGGGGTGTGGGGACCACAAGGAGGAGACTGACAGCCAGAGAGGTGTGGCGGGGCTTCAGGGAGCGGGCTGCGGCAGAGCTGGGGAACGGAGTGGGCACAGGATGGGCGTCCTCCCCACACCGGCCCCTCACTGGGGCTCACACTCTCCCGTTCTGGCCAACAGAGACCCTCTGGGGGCTCCCACCTCCTTTTGGCAGAAGCTGGCAGTCCTCGGCAACGCCCTTGCTGTCTGGCGGCTGCCACAATCCAGGGTCCTCTCGCTCCCTTTCATTTCCTCAAGTCTCGTGGTTTCTATTGTAGGAAATGGCGTTTGGAAAACACAACCTGTGTGCCGGGCTCCTCGGTGCCTCTCGTCCCTGCCTGTGGACAGAGCGGGAAATGGGTTTCCTTTAAGGGGGAAGCAGAGGTGACTCATACTGACGGCTCCAGGTCCAGGTCAGACTGGCCCCCTTTCCTGCTCTGCAGACCCCAGTTTTCAGCAATGATGGGGATGATGGAATCAACGTTTCTTGTAATTGTTCGTTTGCTTTACCCCTGACACACACGCCTGTAGAACAATACAGATGTTCCATGTATAGGACACACACATCGGAACGACACAGCGGCACCACCCACAGAGGCATGACTGAAAACGGTTCAAGATTTCTCCTTTCTTTCTTATTTTGCAATTCCTCTTGTCCTGGGATACAACCCATTAAGGATATAAGGTCAAGTTATTACCTTCGCTCGTCCCAGCAGCCGAGGGCCCCAAGCCGCCCTGGGCAGTGAGGAAGGACAGCCACGGCCTGCGGGCCCTGCAGCCGGGAGAGCGAGTGGCAGGAGGGAGGACATGGGCCTCCTGGGGACCGGCCACCGTGGAAACACAGCGATGGAAACGCAGCGATGGAAACGCACGTGCACAGACTCAAGGAAGCACGAAATATTTCTGGAGATAAAATCCATGATTTGTAAACCAAAGCCCATCTATTAGCTGAGTAACAGGAGAGACTGGTGTCCTTGGGTTCTGAGTCAGTGTCGGGAAAGACCCGGTGGAGGAATGACTTGCAATGCAGAGTGAAAATACAGCTGAGAGGAAATCACAAGGGAACAGAGATTTCGAGGGCAGATCCTGCAGCCCGTAGGCAAATATTAGGGAAAAAAAATAATAGAAAAAAGTTTTTGAGCGAAGGATATTGCAAGCCTGCAGATTGAAAGAGCCATGAGGTTGCAGACGGACTGGCGTAGGAAGGTTCACAGCCAGGCCCAGTCTGATAACAGGCTGAGCTCAAAGGGAAAGGCAAGACTCTTACAGCTTCTGTACAGGAAAACCCCCAACTTCTATGGGACAAAGCCTCGATCGGCACCGGACTTTCCCTCTGTTCCTCTGAGAGCTGGAAGGTGATGGACCGGTGTCTATGAAGTACTCACAGGAAAGGGCACTGCCCTGCACATCCCACACTCTGATGAACAATAATAATAAATGATCCCGACAACAGCTGGCACCCATGGAACGTTTCCCTGTCCAGGAGCTGCTCTAAGTACCTTACACGTGTGAGCGCATTTAATCTGTTACCTCTCATTGATGAGAGAGGTATTAGAATTATCCCCATCTTATAGGCACAGGGGGTTAAGTAACTCATCATGGTCACACAGCCAGAGTTGGAACCTGGGAGTCAGGCTCCAGGATGGGTCTGTGGTCCTCACCACTCTCTACTGACTCCTCACATAGAATTCGTGGGTTACAGAGAAAGAAGGAGATTTCCAGATTTTCTAGGATCCAGGGAGTACGTCATCCAGCAGCTCATCTGAGCAAACAACCCCGGACTTAGGACAGAGCCGCCCACAGAGGAGGCTGACAGCGGGTTCCGCCTGCCGTGCTCACTGTGAGACTGGAAAGAAACGTTGGAGCGATGGGGACGGCAGGGTTTCAGTGAGAGGCCGGGGACTCAGACGGCATCCCCAGGGCTGGCTAGGGAGTCGCTGGCTGCGGGGCTGGTTAAGCTCTCCTCCAGTGGGGCCTGGGAGGACGGGGCGCCAAGGGAGTGGGCGGCACTGGGGGTCCCCAGGGGCGGGTGTGTCAGTTCTGCTTATAACACAGAGCCAGGAATTTGATCTGGAGGCAGAAAAAGGGGAGACTGCCCCTGGTGGAAGGAGAGAGCTGGGGTCACTCGGAAGCTGACGAGGAGAAAGGGTGCAGTGGACAGCACCCAAGCCAGCAGCAGGTGAGGAAAAATGATGAGCATCACAGCACACGACGGCCGAAATGCAGACCAGCAAAAATGTGCGTGGGCTGAACCCTCTGTTAAAGCGACAGAGACCCTCAGTTTGATAAAAAATAAAAGGCAGCATGCGTTCTGAGGAAGCATGCTTCAAGACGAGTGATAAACAATGCTGGAGAGTGAAGGGGGTTGAAGAGATGCGGAGAAACCAGACCAAGGAAGGCAGAGCCTTCAGTTTAGTAGAGAAGGCGGAACGAAGATCAGAACCATTCGGTGGGACAGAAGGACATTCGGAAGAATTAAACGAACAATTTATGAGTAAGATAAAACAGTAAATCCATGTCACGGACTAGCAGCTAGCTGTAGCTAACTATATAAAGCCAAGCTGTCTGAAAACACAAGGAGAACATAGTAAAAGCAGAATTCCAGTAGGAGCTGCCCTGTGTCATTTTCAGAATCAGACCAACCTAGTCGATGAAAAACAGTTAAATCGGGTTTCAGAGAAATGGAGTCACCCAACCGGCAAACTCCATTTAACAGATACAAGACATTCATGCTTCAAATAGAGACGCAGTGGGCATAAAAAGTGATGACGTGCTCAGTCACAAAGAAAATTTAAAAGGTCATTTTCTCCAGCCATATTCTAGAAAAATTAGAAACAATAAATAAAATTTTGACACCTCCCTTCACCACTTGGAAGGTAAGATGCACTCTCAAATTATGCTTTGTGTTAGAGAAGAGGCTTATGGCAGAGAACCAACAGCAGAGTGGGTTAACACGATGGAAGCTTATTTTTAATGTAAAAGCAGGTCTGGGTTGTGGCCAGGCAGCAGGAAGCCCCACGAGAGCCCAGGCTCCACAGTCTTGCTGCTGCCTGATCCTTGGGTGTCCTCATCCATGTGGTCCCACATGTGGCCCCCATCACTCTGCTCACATC